TGAGTGAGATCAGTCAGATATTTAAAGAAGTTCAAAGGACACTTTTGTATGTGCTTAAGATGCTTCCAAAGGCTCCCTTCTTCTGACCCCTCATAAACCACCCAACAAACCAGATCCAAGAATTGCCAGCATTTCAAAACCTAAGGATTCTTTCATGTATAAAGCAGAATTATTTTTTATCTAGTCTATACAATATTTATATATATATATATATTTATTTTTTAAAGCCAATCTAGATGGGAATTAATTCCAGGAAATTTTTGGAATAGGACATACAAAACACACAATGCATGGCCACTAAGAAACCTGTAGCTGTTTCCTGCTTGAGTCTAAATTTCTGCACACTGATCAAGCTCAGCTGGAGTGTGCTGCTCTGACCCCCTCTGACTGAGGCACCACCCTATTTTTTGCAAGTGTTGCATTTTTTTTTCCAATTTTTTGGTACTCTTTGTTCCCTTTACTGGTCTTTTATTCCCTCCACCATTCAATCAGTGAATTACCTTTTGCCTTACTTGAATCTGCTACCTTCTGTTACTTCCTTTCAGCCACATCTGCTTCCCCTCACCCTTTATGTGCACTGAAACTTTGTGATCTTCTGTACAAATCTTCCCATCCCTCCTCTCTGATTTGCCATTTCTGAACCTGAACATTGTTTTAGATCATCTTGCTCACATCCAGCATGAAATGAGTTCTGTTGGCAGAAGGACACAGCAGCTTTACTGAATGTGCTCAAGTTGCCTGAGATTATGTGATAAAAAAGAAATTGCAATTTCTGATAGGTAATGCTTTCAGATGTTAAGCCTGGGACAGCCATGGGGCAGAAAAGTCCTTACTAAAGGCAGATTCCCTCCTATTTATCAGTAGCCTGAAACACCATTTTTTTGATATACCAGATGAACCTGACTTGCTTTTACCACACTCTCAGTGCAATTTGGCACTGTCTTCCTTTCACAAAAAACCAAAAACATAAACAGAAGAAAGGCTTTGTTTATTTGTTTTCATTTAGAAGATAAAAATTCATCATCCTGCACAGAAAAATCCTTTATGCTATAGAGTTACAGGCAGGGAAAGACAATGAAGTATATCTTATTATATTCAGTGTTTATTTTTACATTGAAAGCTGTTACTATCTCTTCCTTTGCTGGCCAAAACAGGGTAAAAATGCTTTATTAAAAAATTATATACTTCTAGCATAGAGTTTTAAAATTACCTGTACAAAGGAGACTTTCAGTCAATCCATATAGGCAACTGGAAATTTGTTTGAATGCAAGCAGCTAATCGTCACAGCAATTTGCATGGGGACAGGTTTCATGTAAATCTAGAAACTGTTTAGTTATGTTTTATAAATGTTGGACATGAGGAATGAAAAAACTCTATAGTAAATGGGGAATAAAATCAAAAGCTAAAAGCTTACCGCATTTTTCTTTAAAATTCTAGAGTCAATTATCTAATGAACTGGTGTTTTGATGAGATGTGGCACTTTAATTCCCTTTAAAAACAAAAAACCCAACCTAAGCTGATCTTTTGTCACTCTTCAAGCACTAACAATTATTAGTGATAACTTAATACTCCTATTGACATCAATGGGAGGAAGAAGTGTGAGGAAATATTAAGACTGTAGGCAAATAAATGTCTTGTATAATTATTCTATTCTTAGCATCTTGCATTGCAGTAAGTAGCTTAAGCCTTTCAATGCTAATGGCTCATATAACTTCCATGATAAAGCTGCCTTCATCTGAAGCCATCTGATAATGACATTTACCCTCCCTGTTTAGCGAGGAAAAGTAGAAGCCACTTGCTGTAAAATGTCTGAGGTCAACTGGTTTCTTTTTACACAAAAAGTGTAGCTCTTGCACAGATGGTTGAGAAGGTGCAGAATGTTGTATTCATCCCATGTTTAATTGTTTCTGTATGCCTTGGAATTTAAAGAAAATTTAGGATGTATGGCAGTAGCTTTCCTTGTAGGTTGCTATGGTAAACCTAATATTCTATACAAAGAAGGAGTATGTTTAGTAAAGTGTTGATCCCTTTTCAGTATAATGTGAGCTTCAAATTACTTTTGCATGATTGAATTTGTTTGGTAAGTATTTTATCACAGTAGCTAAGAGAAGAAGATCACAGAATAAGGTGTGGCTTCTGATATTTCAGCAGCAGATGCATACTATATAGTTAGCTGTTCAGAAGCAATAGGACTTCAGTTCTTTGTTAAATTATCTCCTTAGAGTAAGCCCAACTTACATAATCTAACCAAAATCTCACTACTTTTGGAGACAGAATATTTTTGTAGCCAGTACAAAGTGGCATTTATTTAGTGACACCGTTAAATAATTTCTCATGCTGAATTTGTAATGTTTGTAAAAATAAAGGAACTAATAATTTGAGTATCAATTTCAGCAGCAGTGTAATAAACGACTACAATTGTATTTTTGAATATTTAAATATAAAGAAATAGCACAAAAAAAATCCTTTTCCAGAGCACTTGCTGACTGAAGTTTCTGTCTATTTTCAAGACACTTTCAATTCTGCTGAGTCGGCAGTCAGATGATCTAAACCATATTTAGGTGTAATTTAGGTGAGAGCCAGGCAAAAAAAAAAAAAAAAAGAGGCACAGATTGAGAAAGTAGGGCCTAAATTCTCTTTGATCATGTATTTTTTGCATGAAAAAATGTGTTCGATCTGTCTAGGGATGGGCTTCCCTCCATTTTTCTGCTGGTGAAACTGTTGCACATTAGCTAAAATGAATAAATATTTCTTGCAGCAGGGACTGAGAGGAGCCTGTTCCCACTGCAGCACAAGGGACCAGCCACTGGACTCTGACTTATTAAATTAAGCATTACAGAAGATAATGCTTAGTTACAGAACATGCAGGATCCTCATTACAGGACCTTCCTTTGTTCATTCCTCTTGAGGTTTTTCCATCTCTAAAGACTCCTCTAGTCAAAGCAGTTTGCTTAAAATGATTTTACCATCTTCAGGCATCCTTATTATAGCAATGTCTGGCCTGGAGACCACTGCTGAGGATTCTCCTTTTGTTTGTGTCCCAGTCTCCACAACAGATGGGTCCTGTTCATCAGGAGCCTCTCAGCCTGCAGGTTCCTGACTGTTCCTTGGGACAGGCTGATGTGGCACTTTTGCAAAAGTGATCAGGTTGCCTAAGGTAAAAGCATAAAAAGCCAAAAATTAGACTCAATAAAATTCTCAGTATATTTAAGCACTAAGGATTTTTTTTCCAATTTCTAATGTGGCTGTCCTTGACAAATAATTATAGCCTAGAGAATGCAGGCCAATAGCATCATTTTTTCTGTAGGCAATCATATCTTAAATTTTGACATGATTACTAAGCACAACTCTATTTCATGATGCAGTAGATGCACTTCCAATAAAAAGTTTCTTTCTGAAACAAGTATCCTCATATAATTGACCATGAAACATAGTTTTTAAACTATGCATATAATAAAAGTATTAAGTATTTACTCTAATTCTCTTTTGTATGTCTTTGCTAAAATTCTTGCCCTTTATGTCCTTCTAGATTGAATCCTGGTGCATAAAATGTCAGCTCAGAAGTGCAATGTATGTTGAAGCTTGGGAAGATGAAGAGTACAGAAGTTGTAAAATGAGCTTAGAATTTTTTTTCCATAAGTAAAAAGATTTCTCCCTATTCCAACTTAGGCTGACTGTTTTCTTTAAATAAGAAAAAAAAAAAGCCAAACAAAAAAAAAACAAAAAAACCCCCACAAACAAATATAACAAATTAAGGTTAGAAGTTGAGAAAGGAGGTAATCATTTGTCAGTACCTTACCCTAAAAGGTTTTACTGTCATGACACCTACAGTCAGAAAACCTCTACTGAGGTTTTCATTAACAGTCCTTTCCCGTTCAATAAAATATTTCAGCAAATGCTGGAAAAAATTAGTGCAGTGTGTTGTGAACTCTCTGGTTGCATAATGAAAGGCTGCACTTGGAGGATATTTTTTTACTTTCCCGCAATACTATAAATTTGGGGGTTGCATTCAGTAGAGCAGTGAGCAGGCCCAAGTTGAGTTTCACTGATGCTGTGACTAAATTAAATAAATAAGGACAGGTTTTCTGCATCCTAGTCCATATCCATGGTGGCCATTTTTTACACAAAATATCCCTTCCCAAGCCCATCAAATGTATGAGTTCGGTCCATGATTTGTGCCATTTTTAGAACGTTCTTTCCCCAGAATTGCATAAAATAATTTAAAAACATACAGAGGCAAATTTTTAGAAGTTCGGGCCTGTTATTTGAACTGAGTTTGTGTCAGATATGTGCAGTGTAGGACTGTCCTGGAGTTTAATTTTTTTCACATCTGACCATTTAGTACTCAATGCTCTTAGGGTTTTGGAGTGAACTCCATGGGAACTTGGATAAATCTGTTGTCCCTTTAAGTCCAGAGGAGCTCTCCTGTAAATAGATTGATGGAAGGGGAGACTGTGACAGAAGTTGTGCTCATTTCCCCAGATCTAGACAAGAAAAATTACAGGGATTTTGCTTTCAAAAAGTTGACAGGGTATTTGAAGAATTATTTTGCTACATGAATAGAGAGTATCTTAGATAGCTCTGTGCATAGACTATTTAATTCTGACCACATTTATGCTGGTGTTTCTGAGATATGTGCTAAATATTTTAGATCAACTATAGAGGTTAATTATGCAGATAAGCATGGACCAGCTCAGTTATGCTAAGTTCAGATATGAAAAACATGCAGTGCTAGTGATTGCTTATTGTTGCCATTTCCACTAAGATTATAACAGTGATATACTTTCCATCTGGTTGCCATGGAGGAGGAATAGTTTTGTTTTGCTATGATTTTGTTTGTTTGTTTGTTTGTTTTAAATTGTGTTTATGAGTTATACTTTAATCAATGCAGTGTGACTCGTAGTTTGTCTTTGGGGTCAGCATGCAGCATAAACTTGGGGTTTATTCAATCTATTTTACTTTACTGAAATCATGACTCTAACAATTATTTATTCTTGCAGGGAGATGTGAATGTGGCCAATGCACTTGTTTCCCTCCAGGAGACAACAGAGTTCATGGCAAAAACTGTGAATGTGATGATCGACAGTGTGAAAATGCAGATGGCGATGTCTGTGGGGGTATGTGTTCACTTAATATCACATAACATAGCAGAATTTAACAGCACAACAGAACTGAATCTTGACTGTATATAGCTTTCTGTTCCCCTTGATTTTATAGAATAATGTCACTATAGACTATTTACATCATTCATTGATAATAAGATGGCAGAATTTTGTTAAAAACAGGCACTAGAAGTATTGAACATGTTAGAAAATATTTATTTTAAGACTTTATGTGTGCTAATACATAAATGGAAGTGCTGTATTCCATCAGTTCCATCAGACACTTAAACAAAAACCCAGAACATTAGGTAACCTTACGTTGTATTTAGTTGTGATGCTTTATTGAGGGTGTTGTAATAAATCTAAAAGTACTGATGACCAGAAAAACTTTTAAATATTTTGTATTCACTAACAGTGATATGACTGTTTTCTAAAAAAGTAGCAAAATATGTTATGAAAGAATGTAAAATGCTTGAGAGACAGTGTCATAGTAATTGTAGATGCAGATGGTTTATTTAAGTATTGGCAGTGAAAGCCTTACATTGTGATATTTCAGTAAAGTATGTTGGTGTTTAGCAGTATTTCAAGGTAGTTTTGGATGTGTAAGTGCATGCATACCACATGGTATTTTATAAGCAGCCAAATAATATTTATCATTAACGCTCTCTTTCTAGTTTTTATGTGCTTTGTTTTTAAAATGACTCTTTGATTCTAAATGTTAACAAAGTTGTTCGTATGAACAATGGCACATTGAATTGTATTCCTTATTTCTATGCAGAAAAAAGAATTTATTGCTTCATGTTCCTCATGTACATAAAAAATTCTGACTACAGGGAATATTCCTTCAAGGTGTCTGCCATGCAGAATATAGACATATGTAGGAAATTTTGTTTTGAATATCTAACTAGCCAAAAAAACAGTTTACAGCATTCAGAGTAATTCAATAATATCAGTGTATAGGAAAAAAAATTAATTTTGTGTAAAAAATACCCCACTGAAAATCAGTTTCACATTTGTTAGATGTTAAATAGTTGGGACATAAAATTCATCATTATCCATGCTAAAAATATCTCATTTGTTTATATCACTCATATTTTACATTATTACTTCTCCATCTCTTTCTTTTAAAATGACTCTATGTCATTTTAATGCTTCTGTCTCAGGCTGAACTTCCTGAAATATCTTGCTGAACTGTTCATTCTTTTATGTTTCCTTGTCCTCTTTTCATTGCTATTTTTCTACCACTGTTGCTGCCTAGGCAATCACAGTAAGGACATAAGCCCTTGCTAGTAAATCTGTCTTCAGAGCATTATAAGCTGGACTGTGTGGGGTGTGACAGTGAGCACTGAGTGCCTGTAAGCACAAAGAAGGAAGAGCAGTGTTTTCAGGTTAAATGCATACTGAACTGAGAAATGTGAGTGACAACCAAAATTATTTGAATAAGAATTGTTACTGGCCTTCTCCAGCCAGCAGAGACTGAATAATAGCTTGCTTTCCAGACCAGCTGTCCATGCAACGATAGAAAGACATGAGGTGAAAGCTATGATAAATTAGGGTACAACTGAATGAGATCCCATGGCCATGTTTCTGCATGATGGTAGTGAGTCATTCGCTTAAAAATTCAGCTGTCCATCAATGCAGTACCAAGAATAGAGACTTAATGCCTCCACAAAGACAGAGGTTGCAGGAGGACACAGCATAGATTTCACAGCACTCTGCTATTAGAAATTGATTCATATAATTATGGAATCACAGAACAGTTTGGGTTGAAGGGGACCTTTAAAGATCAGCTAGTCCAACCACTCCTGACATGGGCGAGGAACCTTTTCACTAAGACCAGGCTGCTCAGAGCTCCATCCAACCTAGCCTTTTTCAGGGGTAGGGAATCCACAGCTCTTGGCAACCTGTTGCAAGTCTCCACACTCTAATAATAAAAAATTTTCTTCCTTATGTGTCAGCTAAACCCATTTCCTTTCAGTTTAAAACCATTACCCCTTGTTCTGTCACTACAGACCGTGGTAAAAAAAATCTCTCTTGGTCTTATACTCCTCCTTTCTAATATTGAGAGGTCACAGTAAGGTCTCCCCAGAGCCTTCTCTTCTCCAGGCTAAACAGTCTCAAAGCTGTCAGCCATAAGAGGGGTGCTCCACCCTCTGATCATTTTTAGAGATAGTCTCTGGATCTGCTCCAACAGATTCAGGTCTTCCTTGTACTAGAGACCACAGAGCTCCAGGTGGGGGCTCACCAGAGTGGAATGGAGGGGGAGACTCACCTTCCTTGACCTGCTTTCCAGGTCTTTTCTTCATGCTCCTTTTTCTGTGCCTCTGTACATAGACTTAATGTGCTAAGACAGGAGAAGGTGTCTCATGTAGCCTTTTTGGGATAGATATGTTCTACCTAATGGCCCTTGCCCTATTGTCCAGGTTTTTTGATTATGTAAGATTTTCCCAGGTTTACTTCAGTGTTGATCCACAAAAGAATTTAACATCACATTTCCTTTGGCTTCACTTGGTTCTTTGAGTCCTTCATCTGCAAGTGGTTTTAGTGTGCACATGTAACCAAAGAATCACATGTTTGCCAGCACAATTCTTTGGCAACTCTGTGTTGCTTTTTCACACTAGGCTTGATATTTACTCATCCTGTAACCTGGTGAGACATACTTCTCTCTGCCCTCTGAGGTTATGGCTGAGCTGCTTGCTGCAGATGCATCCCAGGGTTTCAAGTGGTATTTATTTCCTTTATGTGTCCAGTCATGTTTTCCAGTGATTTCAACACTGGATGCTCCACCTCTCTGGGCCAGCTATTGTCCATTACGACTTTTTTCTCTTTCAGGATTGAGGGCAGGCAGACAGGAACTCAGAACAGTAAAGATCAGTTTGAAATGGATTTGATAATGCACTTAATTCCATTCACTTCAGTTTGTTCTCTGGATGATTATTGGCCTAGCTATGAGTTCTTGTCACAGCCAAGTAGCAGCCATTAAAGGAATAAAGCAAAACATTTGGGGTCCTCTGCATACCACAAGTTCCTGTAGAATTGTGCTGATCAAAAACTCTGCAAAGAAACTAAACCAAACAAAAACAGTAAAAAGTTGGTTGAAACTAGGATCACTAGCAAAGGCTTAAACTTGTAACAGGTAACTCGTGTACCAAGATACCTATAGGTAACAAGACTCTTACCTATGGATGTATCCATTTTGTATTATATCAGTGTATCATTCTGTGCTTCAAATAGTGGGCCACCAATAAGAATGTTAGAACATTGCTTTGATAAGGCCTTTTAATGTTTAGTCATAAATGTTTCCACTGTCTTTAAGAGTAAGAAACAACTAAGACTGGTCATTCCAGTAAACCTGTTCTTTGTCACTCATGACAGTGGAATACTTTAAGTCTGATCTCTTTATTTTCAAGTGAGCAATTCCATTTTGATAACTTTTTAGTAATTGTTTTGGCCAGAGCACATGAAAATACAATCATCACCAAAATGCGATCCTAACACTGTAGGGAATCTAGCTGTGTCATGCCACATTAAAGAGTAAATGCAGATTATCTTTTTTTTTGTTAATTCCAATGCCTTTATTTATCATTAGTTTGACATTCTTGTAGTACTAAAAAGGCTTCCAGAAGCTGGAGGAGTTGACTTATTCTTGGAGCAAATGCTGAGGTAATTTTTATTTCACTCCTTACACAGATTTGCCTTCACACCTCTCTCTTCTTGAAGTGTCAGAAAACAGCTCTGCAAAAACACCATGCTTGAGATTTTACTGGAGGAGAATTTAGTGGTGTTTTTGTTGGTTTTTTTTTTTTTTTTAGGAAATCCACTAGTAAATTAATTTTCTCCACTCAGATGCATCTTTTGTTGATTTCATCCTCTTGCATTCTCATGCCCAAATACAAGCATCAAAGTGTCTGCATATAATAGTTTTGGTCAGGATTCCTTGTGTGCGACACAGAACATGGATAAGAGATGCCACCCATCAAGTTTTCTGTAAGACTTTTTATTTCTTCTCAACCAACAATAAAAAACTGGTCTTTAAATACATCTATTATATATTCAGGACCCAAAAGTTAGGGTGATCCTTTTGGCTCACAATTTTTCTTACTTTTATCTCTGTAAACTTGAGGCAAGTCAGGTACCTCTTGTCTGTGCTTCCTGATTTTTGACATTCTTAGTTTGTGACATGCTGTTCTTGTTGAGGTTATGAGGAAAAGAATGACACAAGTTTTTTTCTGTGTCTGCATTGACATCTCTTGTTGAGCACACACACTTCTGCCAAGTCATCATGACATGTTGTTGTTCTGTGAGAGTGCAGACCTTCTGATTTTGACAAAATAATACATTCCTTAGTTTACTCCTGTGACTGTGTTGTTGGTTATCAATGCAGTTCATTTGATCTCATTCTGGGGTTTCTTCTGACACCTACTTACACATTTTCATCCATGCATCATTTGCACCAGGAGTTTATAAGACATACAGCTACCTTAAGCCACAGTTCCCAGCTTTCCAATGATTTAAACTTTTAAATCTGAGACAGAAACTTCCATATCACGTTCTTATAGTGATGGATTCCTGGATTGCACAGTCATCACCAGGATGTACAATGCTAAAGCTCCCTCTCAAAGTCTGGTATAAGTTGCCCCTAATTGCCATGTTCCTTTGGATATAAAATTTTCATTACTATCCAGCCAGGCTAAATAATTGGATTCAGAGGAAGGTCTGCCTTTTTTTTTTGAATACAAGATATACAACAGGAAATGTAAAATCTTTCTTTTTTATGGAAATTCTAGGTCCATGCTGCAGAAATCATGAATGACATTTATTTTTGTGATCTGTTCAGTGGAGCAGAAGCATGATATTTTCAGAGATCATGTTCTTATGAGGACCAGTAAGACCATAACCATAGAAATGAGAGAGCTATGATTAATTATATGCTTCATTAAGCAAAGCTAAGTATGGAACAGTTGCTGTCAGACAATTTCCTCATTTCTTGCACTAATGTTGATCCACAGAAACAGAAGTATATAAGATGTTTGTAGAAATCTCTAATATATGTAAAAAACAAATTAGGAAAGAAAAATAATACCTGTCACTCTCCCAAACAGACAGGTTTTGGCACTGACTGGTCTGAGAATTCAGAAATATGACTCCTGATCTACCATGGCTTCTCTGACTATACAGCACATAATTTCAAAGTCTTCAGCCACCTAAATTGAAGCAATTTTTATCACCTGTGATTCCAAAGGCAACCCTTGCCTGACCCCAGGTTGGCTCCACAAGGACACAGCAGTGCCTGTCTGGCTGCTGCCATCATGAGGATGTCCTTGATGCCTTAGGGCATGTCCAATGCCACAGGGCATCTGAATTAAACCTCTGATTTCTCTGGGGTTCTTACCATGTTAAAATAAAAGTTTATATCCTGTCCCACAGCTCTTTCATCTGTTCTATCAAAGAGTCTTTAGAGCAGGGATCATATTCTTTTGATAGAGGAAACTAAAGAACAAAAAATTGTTGCAGAATTCAGTACTATATATGGATAGTGAATATACTAGATAGATATACTCTATATATCTGTATGAATAGAGAATTTTTATTATGGTATGTGTTATTGAAAAATGAAATTTATTTTCCTGGTGCAAAAAAACCCAAAACCCAAAAAATACAGAAAACCCAACCAACAGTTCATACACGTTTACTGAGCAAAACTGATGCAAACAAAGGTGAAAATGATGGTATTAAATAGTGGAGAATTCATAGTTTAACTGGAGTAAAACTAATGTGAATCAGGGTTTTATCCTGACAATTCTAAGAGGACAGTTAATGATTCAGTGCCTCTGTCCTTGTGTTTAACTGCTTCATCCTAGCTCTGAGGCACATCCAGGGGCAGAAACAAATAAATTTGGAACAAATAGGGGTAATACAAGTAGGTATTAGATTCAAGAGTGATGATTACAGCTAGTACAGGTATTAATGGCATTGCATAGTCTGTATTAAATTAATTTTAATTTTTTCTAATTTTTTTAAAATGGACTACAGATTTATGTCCTGGTCACCCAGATATTTGTGTGGGTGTATGAAAAGTCAACACTACATAGATGCACAGAGAACTAAGTTTGTTTAGCTTTTCAGATAGCATAAAATATGATTCAGGTTTGCAAAAAACATTTAAATTTAATTTTTCTGCTCAAATGGGCAATAAAGAAATTGCTAGTACATTAACATTCAAGTTGATTAATAGATATTAATTTTGTGAATCCAAAAGGTGCTTTTCTGTTGAGCTCTTTTATTAGGCTTTAAATAGCCATTACACTATTCCCATGCTTCCCCCACATTGAATTCTGTGCATTTTGTGCAGCAAGAGCCTGTCTCTGAGCAGGCCATGCTCTCAGAACTCTTAAGACATTAAGCCCATGCCAACATCACTTGAAAGTTTGTTCCAATAGTCATCACCCTTGTTTGAAATGCTGGTTCATTTCTTAAATGATTTTGTCTGTGTCAGGTTTTCTCTCGCTTTGTCTTTTTCTGGGACTTTGAGAATACCTTTTCTGATACCCTCTGAATTCCTCAGAACTTTTTAGTACCCTTCCAAGTTTTGCCAAAATCTCTTCAAACATGGATATCACAGAGTTGCAGGACTTTAACACCATCTCATCAGTGCTATAATTTTGCTCCTCCTCACTTTACTCCATGTAGGTAGATGTGAGAATGACATTGGCCCTTTTTGCTGCAGTGTTTCACTTGAAGGTGCTACTGGACAGCCTGACTGTTGTGCTACTCAAACTGGAGCCACAGTCCACCTTCATTAGACTTAGACAAGACTAACTGACCTACTTTGAAAATGTAGTAGACAGTCAGTATTTTAATTCACATCTATATTAGGTTTCTCCAGCTGCAGTTGTTACAACTGTTCTGGCCTTCTGGTATTCAATAAAAACCAAAAAATAAAAATCATTGTTCAAAGAACATTTTTAGCATCTCATTTAGCATATTTGGGCAGGGTAATGAAGCCTGCTCACCTTGAAATATTTCTTGCAGATATATGTGGTTTAATATTCTCTTCTGTTAATAATATAATGGAAAGTTCTGTGATTTAGAATAAAAAATAAAAATGGAAATCCTGTTCCTATTTAAATACAACAAAAAATATTTGTTTCATTTTCTGGGTGTTCTATATCAGGTATCCTGTGTTATGCTGCAATTTTTCGTATTCTTATTACACTTCTAAAACTTTTTATTTCTCATTCATTTAAAATACATGAGATACATTACTTGTATTAGTCTGAGAAACTTCTGTTCCTGAGATGCCAAATTGTGCTTGGGTCTGGCCTCAGTTTGCCCTTCAGGAACATCATCTGTTTGTAATGGTTATTCTGTAAATAAGAACCAGTTTCCTCTGTAATGATTACTTCCATTTTTCATTGTGTTGGTCACTCCCCTGTAGTGGTGCCTTTTGTATTATAAAATGATTCTGCAGGTTTTGGGGAACACCAACAACAGCTGCATGAGTAATCCTAAACCAAAATTTCCAACAACAACACAATTTCAGTTCCAGGCCTGGCAAGAAATAATTCATCATGGTGCCCAGTTTGGTTCAGGCTGATTTGGGTTATAATGAGCCCCTGCTAGTAATCTGCCACATCTTGCTTTTTTGCTGAATTCATATTTCACAGTTAAATCTTGTGGTTATTTGAGTTATAATTCTAAGGAAAATGACAGAGTATTTGGCACCATCTTTTTTGTCTTCTTTGCCCCTCCCACGTCACAGTATTTACTCTTTGAGATAAATTTTTAAAACATTTTTGATTATTTAAAGCTCATTAACATAGCTTTTTATGAATAAGCATTTAAAATGCAGTTTGTGATTTTAGCTGTTTTCTGTTAGATCTGAAATATTGATAGACCAACACTTCTCAGTATACATGCTTAATCTGTATAGTTAGGGGTAAAGAAAAATCTCTAATTGAAGAACTCCAGCCAAAATGAATTGCTTAACATGATAAAATAGTGATTTAACTATTCAGATTACCCCTTCCTTCTGTGATTTGCGAGGAGGCTATTCACAAGTAGACCATGTAAAGCAGTTGTTCTCAGACTACCACACTCACATGAGATAGCTGAGATGTAACAAGCAGTGGGCTGAACTCTTGTACACTTGCCACCTCAGTGGATGAGGCATCCAGAAAGCTGCAGCTGCCCAAGCTGGTGTCAGCTAGGAGCAAATAGTATTTTTTTAATGGATTATTTGAGACAAAAGAATCATTTATGTTTTGAAAATTTATATGGCATAAAGGAAGAGAGAAATTTCCTTTACAGAAAAGTGCCAGTCAAGTTTTCTGTGCTAAACTGCAAGCTCTGTTTGCTGCAAATGTATAGATTATTCATTACCTTTTTATTTGACTTGTGTAAAGGCTTTACAGATATGATCAGTCTCTTCATTCAGTACCACATAATGACTGAGAGAAAAATGCATTAAAATTATTTTCTCAGTGAAATTGCCATGGATTTCTTACTATTCACTGCTAAAAGAGTAGAGGGGTTTGGATCTTCAGAAATAATTTTCCAGCAGTGGCATCCAGTTGTATATTTTGCTCTTAATTAGCTAAATTTATCTGAGTTCTAATCTCTATGTTACTAATTTAAAATAAATAAGGTCGATAAAAATACTCTGACAGAAGCTTTATTTTAGTTAGTTCATAGACAATTGCATGACACCTGTCTGGAAGGAGCATATAGGAAAGTACATATGCTTGTTTTCTATCTCTTGTATTTTGGGTTGTCATACGGTTGTTCTTGTTTCCCATTCTGACACAAAAGTTCAAGTAGCATCAATCTTTTATCATTGCTAGGTAAAAATTTTTAGAAGTGGGTAGAAATACTGTCATAATAAGACTGTGTCATCGTTAACTGAGCCTTTAATATGATAAATATGATCAAAATATAATAGGCATCAATAATGTAATATGATAAAAAAACCTCAAAAATCAACACATTGTTTGGGATACAAAAATTAATTTGAATATTTAGATGCTGAAAATGACAACTCCAAGACTTTGGAACTCCCAGTATTTTTGTAATGAAAACTTTTAAGGTATTTGACTATCAGTATACTTGAATGAATTTCACTTTCAGCAAACTACCAAGTTTGTCTCTCCTCTGGCCTTCTACCAGTGTTGCCTCTCAGTTTACAAAATCAAATTGCACTGGAGGCTCATGAGAAATCCACTAATCAGGAAAACTAAATAGCTGGTTTGCTTCCCTGCATCCCACAGCTCCTTGCTTTCCCAGATACTCCTACAGCTTGTTCCCTTCTTCCCAGTCCATGCTCCCAAATTATCTCAGTCCCTTCTTTTCTCCTCCCTTGCCCTACACAGAAGATACGATAGGGCAAAAGTCACTGGTATGTGTTTGCTTCCCTTGTAACTAATTAGCTAAGGAATTATTGTCTCTGATGCAGAAATATTATTCAAAGCTGAAAAATGTAATTCTGGCTGGGAGATATTTCTTCTTTTATTTCAATTCACCATTCCTATATTCTTCTCTATATTTGTTGACACTTTTCCCTTCTTCCTGGCCAAATTTTCTACTCAGCTTATTATTCAACCTATTTTCAATTTTTTATTAACCTTTTTGCAAATAATTGCTTTAAAATTCTATTTTGTCTTTCCCCTCCCTTCTTTAAAGTGTGAGTTATGGCTTCTAGGGTTTCCTTGAGCTATCCCTCACTTGTTTTCTGCACATCATTAGGGCACCCTTTTTAACACAAGAAGGAGAGAACTGGAGAAGGCCATCCTGCTGGGAAGGGATGCTGGCTGCTGTCCACCCATCAGTCTGTCTATCCCATAGCACACACTTCATACTGAAGAGGTCTGACACTGTGACCACAGTCACAGCAACCACAGTGACAGGTTTCTGCTTGTCTTGCTCATCACCAACCTTGGTGTCATTACAGGCCATGGTATCTGCTCATGTGGCCGATGCATTTGCCAGGATGGGTGGTTTGGAAAGTTGTGCCAGCACTCAAGGAAGTGCAACATGACGGAGGAGGAGAGCAGAAGTCTCTGCGAGTCAGCGGATGGCATATTGTGCTCCGGGAAGGGTAAGATCTGCCAGCTGAGCTACCCTGTGTCAGTGCCTGACAGAGGAAAATAATCACGCTCTGGAAGACTAATGTGCATGGCAGGGGTTGTTGTTCAGTAACCCTCTCTTTCAAAGGCACTCATTATTAAAAGGATGTTAAAGGATGCTCTGTAATGCACTTGCATCCATTTTGTCAGTCACCCACCCCAGCCGTACTCGTTCAGCAGCGTTGCTCTCCTATGCAATTTGTTTGTAGCATATAATTTCCTGTATGTGTTTAGCTGATGGTCTGTGGGGAACAGCTGCACATTATAAACTAACTGTTATTGCTCCTTCCACTCTGGGGAAAAAGGGCACGACCCACAGTAACACTCCAGTGGGGAAGATGGCAAATGTAATATATTGGACAACAGTATGTGGAGGAAAGTGTTTAAAAGCAATTTGGTACCCTTAATTCCTCTGCTCCCCAAAACAGCTGCAAAGGAAAAGTAGATGTCTGCAACCCCCACAAATGAATCCTATAAACTTTCTCATTTACTAATTTTCATTCATCTGGTTGCATCAGCTTCAGTTCAGCTCTAAAAAAGATTGCCACAGGGAAGAATAAAAGTTAGAAAATCTTGATAATTATCTGAAATTGTTCTCTGAGGTTCTTACCTTGCAGTCTTTCAGGCTAGGAAATTGCATTAATGGAAAGAGGGCTTTTTAGCTCCCCCGTAGTGCAAATTGCCTATTTTTGTATATAATATGTCTGAAGGAGAATAGACAAAAAAAGACTGGTTGGAGGCTAGAATGCATTCAATCCAGACTCTGTGTGTCATTTCCTATATTTGTATGTCCCTTGCATAGACAGGAAAGAAATCTGCCAGCTGGAAAAACCAGTTAGGAGCCCTCTACAACAGGCGGATTTCCAGTTTTCCCTTTGGTAACTTTAATTTCAGTGCAGAGGAAATTTAAATGGGGTTTCCAGCCCAGGCTTCAACTATCTGTATTATCACTTATCAGAATTTTCCTGTTGCACCATTTAATTTTGTTTTGGGGCTTTTTCCCCCTCAGTTGATGCAGTGTCATAAAAAATAAGAAAGTTGCACTGTTTCTCTTTTTTTTCCAGATGGGACTATCTTTAAATTAGTATATGTGTAAGAGTGAGTGAGTTACAGAAATGAGAAATGGAAATTACTCTGTTTTACTGCAGAAGTTGACCTTTTTTCTCTTAATGTGTGCCTCGCTGAGATTTTTTTATATAAAGCAGGAAGGTGAAGCAATATGCTTGGTACCAATAAAATGCACTATGTAAGATTCTGTATAAGTATAAACATGAAAAATTATGTTGATTTTTAAAATATTCATATTATCTGCTATCTTTTTCTAAGGATGGCTGATGACAGTTATTCCAGCCTGGGGTCTTACTATGAGGACAATTAGCTTTGAACATGTGTTGCAAGGGTACCATTTACTTTGAGGCTTTGGGAGTAGATAATCCATTAGGAATTTGCAGGTATCAAGAATTTTTTACCTCTGTTGGCTATGCTGCTGGGGCCTGTCTTGGGATCTGGTCACTTTTATAATCTGTAGCAGCCTGAAAGGTGCTCTAGTGTTGTCCTTTCCAAACTGACCCGTTCTGTGATTCTGTGACCCTAAATCCATACACAGAAAGAGTGGTGGGATTTTTTTTTATTTTTTTTTCCTTTGGGGGAAATAATTTCTTTGGCCCCTGAGCACACATTAGAGAAATCACCTCCATAAGACATCTACAGCAGTGTGTGGCCAGTAAACATCCAAGGAGGCTACTATCTCCTTCCTCTTCTCTGAGCAGGATGGGAATCACAGGCAAAGACAGCCTAATTATAAATTATATATATTAAATTATTATTAATTTTGCTGCAATGCTATTTTTTTCCTTTTTTCCCTTTTTTTTTTTCTTTCCAGATCTGTTCTTGATGCTAAGATATGTGTCTGGAAATAATGTCTTACTGGATATTCATAATTTAGAACACTGTTCATAGATAGTGAAGCACTATCCAGGAACCAAAATGGAAAATTTTTCTTTCTGATTCATTACAGTGAAAAAAAAATGATTACTGGTCAAATAAAAGGGAATTTCAAACCTGTGCACTAATGGTGGTTTTTCCATTTTTGTTGGAAACCTAGCCATGATATTCAAGTGTTAAATGGACTGAGGATAGCTTGAGTTTCTGTATATAGGTTTTAATAGACTGTGAAGAGTCCTGGTTTTCAGCAGATAACTGCTGAACACTATCAGAAAATTGCACTCTGCTAATATAAGCAAAGTTGGGCATCCACATTCCTAGGCTGTTTTCAGAATCTTGGCTCGCTGACTGTGCCACCTGTAGCAAAAGCTCTTCCCAAGGAAAACAGCAACACCCACCACGCTGCTGCCTCCCTGGCAGTAAAGATAGGGCTGTACATGGTGACTGTAATGGTGCAGGATGTGGGCAAGGTAATGAGCCAAATCCCATCCGAGAGGAGCTGGCTGGGATCCCAGGAAACACCCTGCAACTCATTGGACTCAAACTGAGGAGCCTCCCAGAGCAGCATGCCCTGTTCAGGGAGCACACTTGATACATTTGTTTCCCTAACAGATTTTGCATTTTGGAGCCTTATCTTCCTTGCTTGACTTGGTGTTAAATTTGCTGCATCTTCTGCAAAATGGTTTTAAACATCGTGGGCATCCCTCAGTGGCAGGATCAGTGCTTGCTGATGCAGAATCACTTCAGGCTTCTTACAGAGTAATACTCTTAATAACTGCTGTAATTTCACTAAAATCCTCATACTATTCCTCATTATTTTCAGATGTCAGTACCTTGCAGTTTTTATAATCAGAGGTATTTGGTTGAAATTGCCCTCAAGTATATCTTAGTGTACCTCTTATAGAGCAAGCCTATGACATGTCTGCTATCCTCCACAGCCTCCTTATACAACAGCATTTTTGATCCTTGTAGGGAATGACAGTATTTTCTATGCCAGTGGCCCTGTAAGCAACACTCAGAACCCACAGAAAAAGTAGATGCTTAATCAAATACTTCCATCCTCAAATGTTCTAATCACTAGCTCTTCCTGAATATATTTACATGTTCCATATGTTACAAGTTAAAGCATTTCCCTAAAATTAGGCAATGAGTTAATTTTTGTGAATTCGAAATAAGCATTAAATTACATATTTAATTACAAATCAGATACTCTGCTGAGACTGTTCTGAAGTTTTCAAGAATTAAGCTTCAGTATTTATGGGAAAAGGAAGGGAAAATTTGTTGCTCTCAACAGATGCAACTTTTTTTCTTTAAATGTATTAGGATTATTACTATGGATTTTATTCAGAGGTCACTGAAAGAAGTGGGAAGATGGAAAAGCATGATTTTATAGGCTTTGGCTCAGGCCCTGTTGAGTAACCCATGAATCCTTTTTAGGTTACATTCTGACATAACCAAGCTTCCTTCTAGATATTTTTTTCTGTAATAATGTATTCAACACATTGGTGACTTTTTATTGGAATGATTCTGGAAATATTGCAGGAGGCCAGGATTTTCAAGTGAATTTAACTCATTTATAAGCATCTTCTGTAAAAGGTCAACAGCTTCTTTTGTGAGATTTTTTTTTTAACTCAGCCCCTCACAGATGAAAATTTTGCATCTATTCTTTGCTATAATTAATCTTGGTTTTTTACATTTTTTTTAACATTGATTTCTGCTGTTACCCCTTCTTAGGGCTAGATCCATAAAATGATTTTTGCTTAGCAGTTAGTAAGATCCCCACTTCAGTGTTTAAATGCATGAAATCTGCACAGGGCCAGGCTGCTGAAGATGAGATCTGTAAAAGCCAAGTCTCTTCAGCCAAATGCTGGAATCATTCAGGAGGAATTACCATCTCCTTGTGGCATTTCTAGTTGCAGAAAAGCCTCTTTCACACACTTCTCAGGCTTCCTGATGCATGATTGTCCAGGGGCACCTGTCACTTTCCACAATTCAGAGCCACGAACCTTCTCCTAAGGGTAAGGACATCTCAGAGTCTTCTCTTCAAGGGAGGTTCCTGGTGCTCTGTGGGTTATGGCATCACCTGAATTTGACCCCACAGTCCCTGCTTTGCCTGTGAAGGTGTGGCCTGACATCCTTGAGGAGAAGAACAGCTTGTCCCAACAAGTGTTGTTAGGGCACACTGCAGGAACGAGACAATTGCTGAGCTGCCATTACGTGCACAAACTTTTTCTGACCTGAGCAAATGTTCAGTAAGTCCAAGGGAGGTGGAGAAGTTTCATTCATGGTGGTGAGGATTTTGGGGGTCTGTAGATGTTAGTCTTGGGCACTGCTGGTCTTTTGTGAGCTCACCCCTAAAAGCTTTAGATGAGGAAGACTGTTTTCTTCCTGGGTGTGATTTTACTGCCTTCAGTAACAACGGTTTGGGGACAATTTGAACTTTGCTAGTACAAAAAAAGTAAAATAGAAGTTACTGGGGAGAGAAGCCCTGATTGTAGGTCTCTAAAACCAAAAGAAATCTTCAAAATGTGAGTCCTGATTAATTTAAATAGCAGGATCAAAGCTATTAGTAGTAACATCCCATCATACTCCAACTCATGCAAACAGAAGCCTTTCATTCAAAAGCCTTTTAGCTTGATTATTTTCTTTTATGCAACAGCCTTTTAGGCAGGATTTTGTGCACATGCACGTGTGCGTATGTGTGCATATGTGTGACTTTGGTTGTTATTTTCTAGTCTGAATGTGCCAGTACTCTTTGACTGTGAGTAATAATTTTTGTGATTTCAGGCTCCTGCCACTGTGGAAAGTGCATCTGTTCACCCCAGGAATGGTACATTTCGGGTGATTTCTGTGAATGCGATGACAGAGACTGTGACAAACATGATGGTCTCATTTGCACAGGTGCAGTACAGGCTAACACTTAATTGCTTCAGGAAACAAACTGAGTTGATGGGAATTATGTTAGACAAAGCCCAGCTTCTCCTTTCCCCACTGATGGAGGAAGCACATTTGCTGGTTATTCAAACCTGCTGTAATTGTTTCTTCATGCAGTGCAATGATCAACATAAGGTTTCAAAACAACAGTTAAAAGCCTGAGTGTGAATTTAAATAAGTAAGCCAGCTATGGAATCTATCAACAATTCTCCCTGCAACAGACTACAAGTTACTGGGTTTTGGCAAGGAACACAGTGCCATCATTATGGTTTCCTTAGCCTTTGTTCTTTTACTGGACATTCCATTTGTGTAATGCATTTTAAGTCGCAGACAAAATTCCCTGGTGGGTTAGTAAAATAGATTTTTACAGGTTAGGGGCATAGTTGTGTGGGTTAAGAGAGCTTCCTAGCAATCAGACAATTGTCGGTGGGAGGCTGGAAGAGCTGATAGCTTTTCTTGTGATGTGATGGTAAATGATTCAAGCAGCTTCACCTTAACATTGTCTGAATATGCAGGTGGCAGATGTCGATGGAAATGGGCAAGCTGCCAACAAACCCTTGTGACAAGCGTAGTGACAAGAAGCAACATGGGAATTGCTAAATTAACTCACTGGCTGCTTCCTGTTACAAATCTTAATTTTAGAAAATCTTTGCTGAGCAATTATTAGATGTGGAAGAACTCTGCAAGCCAATTAGAGTGAGAGTGGGAAGACTGACACTAGTAAATTGTGTCTTCCAGCTAGCCCCATTAGCAAGGGTCATTTTCTGGAGACAACTAGCCAGTATAACAAGAACAGGAGCCTTATCTGTAGCTCTAATGCCTAATCATGGATCTTCATAAAGTCAGAAGGAAGAGGAGTTTATGTAGATACAAAAGTTATAGAGGTCTCAAACTCAGCATCCAAGGGTCATAAAAATATGACCCCAATTTAAATAAAATTAATAGGTGGGTCTCAGCTGTTCCACTGCTGCAAAATAGGGCCAGGACATTTTTCACTTAACACAGAGTTTGAGATAGGATTTATTTGTATAGCACTTCTGAGATTTTAGGTTTAAAGTTTTTCATGCTCAAAGCCATGGTTTAATTGCTATTCTGTTGATAGGTTTTAATGGCTTTTTCTTTATGAATAATAGTTAATCTTGTTTTTCTTTGTACCTGGAGGCACAGTGTGAACACTTAGCCTCACCAGCTGGGTACAAACACTGTGAAGTGTACAAAATTACACTTCACCATACACAATTTCAATATTTGCAATACTGCTGATGGAATTATTGAGAACATGCTATTAATGCCATGTAAGTATAGGTGTGGGATGGCTTCTTAATGCAATGGTACAGTAATTGCTTCCTTCCAAAGGAAAAAGGGGACAATAAAGGAACAATACATCTACTTTAGCATAGCTTTTTACTTCCCATAAAACACATTTTAATGTAGTACATTTCAATTATTATAATTGTCCTTTATTCATTCTATTCTAGGTAACGGTGTTTGTAGCTGTGGAAACTGTGAGTGCTGGGAAGGATGGAATGGAAATGCTTGTGAAATCTGGCTGGGGAGAGAATACCCTTAATGGAGGATGTCAAAGATTGAGGAGGGTTTTTTTGTTTGTTTTTCCTTAGGCTGCTAGGAGATTTAATTTCAGAAGTATCTGGGTGTGGGTATGCATGAACGCACACATACATGGTTGTAAATACCTTAGAACACATTTGAGGATCTGCTCCTTAAAGAAATGCATCAGAAAACTAAACAAGGGAGCACGACAGCCCAAGCTCTAGAGGGTGAAGTCATAAAATATTGGCCCTATGGAACTTCTCCAGAGATTTTTTTGTAAATTCAGTGGAACCGATATTATACCTTTAATGACTACTTCTTTGAGCAACCTGAGGCAAAGGTATAAGAAGACCATTTTTTCAACATTATTTACTTGGGTGTCACATCTCCTTGTCAGTATGCAACAATTCACCTGTAGAGGAGTAGCACTGGTGAAATATTGTAAAATAATTAGTTTGATTTGTTTTATGGTATTTGAAAAATACATTATTTGGCCCTTTTCTTTTCTTTCCAACAGTCCTGATTATAAACCAACTCATAAATTGAGAGAAAATATTATAGATATAATATTAATGATTTTTTAATTTGGTCAATTGTGTAACTGAGGTCCAATTATGTGACACTCATAGACTAAAGACCCAAAATGTTTGAATGGGAACCTTTTCCACAGGAGAACTTTTAGTTTCTGTGGTTGATATGTCAGAAAGTTGGTTATCTAATCTACATATTACAATACTTTAAAATACATAACCTATAGAAACATATGGAGCAAAACTAATAAAGATATAAAAGTATGATTGCCTATTCTGCATATATATTCTGCAACTCACATGTACTTCTCTTGTACTGTTCTACATATCTACAGCTGCCTCCTACGTGTAAAGCAAATTTTTTAATATTAGTAACTTTTAGGATTTTACTCTTAGAAATCACTATTCAGGACAGATTTCCCTGTCAAACTGGAATTCACTGAATTTAACTGCATTTGTAGAAATAGGGAACCTTAACATCAACTGACTTGAAAAATCATCTGTGCTATGCAGTAGCTTGGACTCAGCCAAAGATGTTTGGACAATGTTGACAAAGTAATTAAAGTTTTAATACAGTAAATACAAACAAAGCAGTGGTATGAACAAAAATTTTATTTTTATTTTCCAATGGTGAAATGCTGCTCAGTGTGAAATTCACATTGAGTTATGAACGATGCACAACTATTGGGACTTCCCTAACTTATTTACATATGAGTCTCTTATTTTTTTGTACATGTCGATTTGGCAGCCCTTGAATTCTTTAGAGCAAAAAAAAAAAAAGAAATATATATTTTAGTTTCAAAAGTGTTTACATTTTGTGAAACCATGATTGAGCAATAAATTGATTAAATGGCTCAAAAATACTTCTTTTAGATACCAAACTTTAACATTGTGGTTTAGGTGCCAAGGTCCTGATTTTTGAAGAGGTGCATGACTCAGAAATAATGGAACTATGTATTAACCAAAAAAAAAATTCCATTATTAGTCTAGAAATAACTTTTCTTTTAGAAAGAACAGTTTTGAAATAGGAAAATACAATGGTATAGAACATGGGTAGAATGCAAAATTTCAAATTAATTTATTTAACTGCTTTATTATTCCCCTGTCCCATATAGCTTGCTTTTTAACTTTAACCACTTTTTTTTTTGCCTCTTAACCTGGATTCTTTCTTTCTAAAAATGAAGCTTGTGAAGCCCATATTCTCAGGGAGTACCATTACCAAACATCCAACTTATATATAAGCTATGCAGATAAATAACTAGACATACATCCCAAAGCTGCTAGCTACTCTCTTACCAGATTACCAAAGTATCAGGCAGAGTTCTAAACTGTATTCATAACACATAAAGAATCCTCAAAGTGAAATTCATCTCGAAATTTTAATTTATGTTTATACTTAAAACCCTAAAACTCCATGGAGCTCTACAGGAATATTTTCTTAAGTTTTAACATATATGCATTTTTCCAACCCTAGTGTCTGGAGAGCACAAATTGTTGCTTTTATTTATATCTATGAATAATGAATACCGCTGACCTGAATCATCTCATAATCACTGGGTTTGTTGCATATACATTCATCTGCTGAATCAGAGTGTAAACAATGAAGGATACAAAGTTCTCCTTGCTTTCCTTCCATTTATATTAAATACTGTATTAAGAAAATACTACATAATCAAAACTCTATTCTGGTGTCAGTAGATGCTTTTGACTTGTTTCATGGCATCAAAACATATATTGTAGATCAGCTGTGGTATTTCAGGTACTCATTCATATATAAAAGAACAATTCTTTAGGTGGTTCCAGTGTTGTATTTGATACATTTTTGTCATTTGTTTTAAGTTTATATACTTAAAGAGTACAAAGTAATTTTTACTTTGATTTATTTATACCAATCAGCTCCAACCTTTTTGACTACTGATGGATTATGTAGTCATAGTATTTCAAAAAGGGTTATCCAAGTTGTTTTTAACTTACATACGGAAAAAATCAGAATATCTAAGACAGCTACTCTCTGTGGTTCCTTTAAATGCAATTACCAAACAAAATGGTGCTATTACTATAAACCTGAAAGTATTAACTAAGACTACTAAAACGGAATGTACACATTAATTCTTTTCCAATTTTTCTTTTGTTTCCTATAATGTTGCTTGAACATTTCCCCTGCTCTTCATGCGGAGGTAACTGGTGATGTGATACCCAGCATATCTGTTTTGTGGCTCATTTCCTCTCTAGAAAGATGAAATCAGAAGGAATAAGATTATTATTCCACATATTTGAATATAATAGCTGTATTAATAAAATTTTATCCTTTTCCCTTGTTTCATTCCCTGTGATGGGAATTCCAGATACATAAACTGTAAATGCAGGAAGAGGCATAAGGAAGTGAAACTTACTACTTGATTTTTCACTGCTAGTGACTGTAAAAACCTGCTTCCATGCCTGTGGCAAAAGGCAAAACCAAATTGGATAAATGGGGACTTTTTACTGATTAGATTGATAAACCTTATAAACAGAAAGATATTATAGCCTTGTTTTCTTCTTATGTGAGAAAGAACACAATCCAGAAGTGTGCCATTGCTTCTATAATAGACTTGCAGGATTACACCTATTGTGTATAACATATCTGTAATATCACCTATAAAAACCTGTGGATTGATTTGCTTCTGTAATTTATTAACCTGCTTGTGATCCTTTTTTCCCCCCCACTGGCTTTATTCTTTTTTAGAAACACATAGATGCATTTAATCATGTACCTGCTCTCACTTTCTGATATATTGCCCTTGCTTCTTTGCAGAATGACATCTCACTTTGTAGCTAAATGGTACAGCTAAATGATATTGGGATGAAGAAAGCTAAGTTGAATATTTCTGTGACTAAATAATTGAACAAAAAAATTTATTACATCTTTAAAAATAATTCATAGCATTTGCATTAGTCATCACAGAAAAAAACCTGTTATTAAACATTTTAGAATGCATTGCATGAAATATGAATTTATCTAAAGAGCCATTTAAAAGAAAGAGAACCTTCTTATGTAGTCTAATTTTGCTTCCATTCCCATTTGAATGTAGCTGAATAATGTATTCTTTATAGCAATAAACAGATGGATCATCATGATATGCTTTTACTGCATGGACCAAACTGCTTTCATACCTCATTGCTTAAACTAGTTTTAAACCAAGACAAAAATTTCCCCATATATATAAATGTAAAGCCAGGGTTCTTAGTATTGTTTCAGGTATTTACCATAGTCAAAGTGAATTGCTTTACTTTATATCTGGTGAAAGGGAGGGCCTGGGAGGGGTTTATTAAGAACCAACATTTATGAAAATGATAGTATATTAAAAAATCAATTGAGAATGGCTAAAAAACCCAGAAAATGAAGCAAAAACTCTGTTATGTGACCTACAAAGCACTTAAAAGGAGCTAGAGACCCTTCTATAGGCTCTGTCTTGTGAGCAACCTCATAAGGGTTCTTGTGAATTTATAAAATTTTTGAAGTACAGCAAAATGGTGCTTTGTTGAAGTAGTTCATATCTCCTCAAAAGTGGATCTCTAAAACTGTGCAGGTGTGACTGATTTTGCCAAATAGAACTGTAGCTGAAATACAGATCAAAAAAGAGAAGAAAATGACTGTGCAGTGTTAACATATAAAATGGCAAGATGAGGTTAGATTTCAGTGTGAACAGTCTCTAAGAGATTAGAGAAAACCCAGAAGAACAAAATACAATGCAAGCATGCAAAAGACCTGGAACGCTGCAGATTCACGGACAGCTGCACATGTAAGTACAAAAACCCCAATCTGTAAATACAAATTGATTCCATCAGGTTTACTATACAGTACTTTAGTAGTAACAGACAGTTGAAAACAGCTTTCACTTAACAGCGAAATTAATTTTAGAGGGAAGAAAATGGTGAAGTCTCATCCTGGAGAACAGCAAGAGAGGTATTATATTAAGGAGCTGAAATTTTCTTTGGCATGGTAAAGGGGGAGAACTGAGTTTGCCAACCTATTTACATGAAGTTTCACCATCCTGTGGCCAGTGCAATGATGCTTTGCACAGTCTACTTCTTACATAAACTTTTCTGTTGGTTTCCAGTATGCCTTCATATAAATGTTTTATTCATCATGTTGAATCTGTGTATACAACAAATAAGAATAAACACAAACTGTACAATGCAGACAAACTCTTTGCATATATGTATGTAAATTTGTAACACTGACCAACAGTTCTTTGACAGACACAACCTACAACATGCAGTTAGTTCATCCTTGTCGTACTCTTCCCATGCAACAGATGAGACAAGACAAAATTAAAGGGAGGAAACAAAGCACAAAGATACCTGTGTTATGTTTAAACAGATTGTAGGAAAATAAAAAATCAGGGCATTGATTCATTGGATTAAACACTCATGAATTGAGCCCACAGCAACAAAACCAGAAAAGAAAAGAAAAAGGCAAAAAGCTGTATTTCCAGTATGTACTAACTGCTTAAAGAAATTAAATCTGCCCTTAATTATAGCCTCCCAAACTGGTTCACAGATCATAGTTACTCAGGACCAAAAGGTTAATGTTGAAAATAATGTTTATGTAGGATCAGGCAATGAACCAGATCCTCCTTGCATGGCTCAGCCAGGTCTCTAGCCCTGTCTCTCCTCAGGCTCTTACACTGGGTGTATAAGACAGCTGAATGGGGCATGAATTCGTGTATTCCCTCCTCCTGAATCAGGAGGAGAATGTAGCCTTCAGCTGTTATTTTATCTTACTTGAAATATTGTGAAGTTCTCCTCTCACTGTTGCAGGAAGGCCTGGGGCCATGGCGGGGCCGGCCGCCAGTGCAGCGTCAA